TACAGCTTGCAAGACTATCGAGATAAACGATTTCATCAAAAGTTCTATATACACAGCCTACGAAGAAACAAAAAAACTCCACCACGTCAACGAAGCAGTCAGCACCTCTCAACGCGTATGCTTTTGACACACCCAACGGGGGGCGGGATGCCCTAGCATCGCCAGACAGCCTCTTACTCGAACATTCCGATAAGACCCTTGAAGATGTTTTGTATATGCGCGAGAGTAATTTGACCGAACAAATGAGAGAGTATGACTTATCTTATATTACCGAAAATAATTTACAATCAGAAACAAATCATTTGCTTTTTAGAAAAGCTCGCGCAGATTTCATTACAAGCGCAATGAGACCAGTATATAATTCTACACACATTAGCCTTATTTTAGCCGAAATTAACGACATATTACATAAATTTATTTACATATCAACTGAAGTACGTCAACTCCTGTGTAACAAACAATTTTCTTTCAATCCGCAATTTTTGCTAAACGCGATAAAAACTATCAGGGCAATTACTAATTCAAAGTTGCCAGTATATATGTCAAAAATCAATATCATAACACTATAATAAATTGCAGAAGTTAACGTAGATTACTTTCGTAAGAACATCATTGTCGAAGTAATTTTTCCCCTCGTAGCAAGCAGCAATACGCAGAGTTTCAAATTATATTCACTACCAGTATTTCAGTATCTTAACAAAACTAACCAAGTCGTTAAATTCATTAGACCACAAAGTGATTACCTGACAGTGACAGAGGGAGAAGCTACCCATGCCTGTGTAAGCAAAAATTTAATTGATAACGAGTGTAAACGTATCTTTTCCTTCTATCTGTGCCCGCGCCCAACTATACGCAAGTCAAACAATAATGCCTGCGAGTTTAGTCTGTTAACATCACCGGAAGAGTCAAATCTTGTATTTTGCCAACTTGAAACTAGCTCCGAAACTGACTATCTTATACCGACGTTACAAAATAATGTTTTGTTATATTCAGTGACTCTCAATACTTCTTTTGATGTAAATTGTAACGGCGTAGTACAGACCATTTTTTTGAATGGCACTGTATTAATACAGATTCCCCAGCTGTGCGAACTTAGAACGGACCACCATATTTATTTGGGGGCTAAGAAAAAACTAAAGGTAGAAAATTTTGTGATTTCGAAAATTTCTCTGATAACTACAAACAAAATAATAATAAAAAGCCCAAAAATAAGTAATAATCAGAACAGACACGAACACTCGGACCGAGTGAAATTATTACACGCGTATTTAGCGTTAGGAGTAACCATTGTAATCGTTATCGCATCCGTAATAGCAGTAAGTTGCATACTCTGCGAATATAGAGTGTGCAGTGACAAAGGCCATAGGTTCGAAAATATACCAATGCAAGAACTGAATCAGCTCTTAAACCCTCAAAAAAGAATGATCTGCAAATCTGCACAGACATTACTTGACGGAAAGTATTTTAAATTACCAATCAACTACGACACTCCTCACTCCCCACCCATGGCGGTGCAAGCAATCCTACTACAAGAATCCGAAACAACAGACACTCCACCACCTCTCCCACTTTCTAAAAAAAAAGGTATAAAAGCACTAAAATACCCCCTGTCATGTCAGATACACCATAAACCAGCATAATGAAGCGCACCGCAACTATCGCACTCGACCCGCCGCACAAGAGGGCCAACAGATCCTGGACGATGGAACAGATCTTGAACAACCGGACGTCGGCAGCAGCCATGGACCGACTAATGCTAAGATGGGAGAACCGGGAAGCTCAGATGAGCATGGGACATCCTGAGTTACCACAGTTGGACGACGATGGAGACTGGAGCCACCACCAGCTCACGCAGTACATTTTCCAGGAGGCTCATCACGGGCACCTCCACGTAAAGTTCCTCTTCGAGGAAACTTACGGAGGTAAGAGGTTCGGACGAGCTCCATTCCATCCATGTCACCTCTGCCGACAAGACACCGCACATTGGCAGGGACGTTTTTTCTGCCGGGCACGCGTAGTGGCTGTATCAACGGACCAGCAACTGGCCATTGAGGCCGAATGTGTCCGCCCAGAACATTTCATGCTTAGCAATGCTCCTTGCGCAAGGTGTACCGGCAAGGCGGTTTTATTTAGGTTCTAGAAAAGTTTGCAGGTTCACCGTTTGGAGCTGCTATAATCCTCTCCCAAATCCTTCCTATTTTTAGAATAATAAGACAAAAAAAAAATAATAATAATAACAAAACACAACACAAAAAATATATACATAACAAAAAGATAACAAAACATAACACAAAAAATATATATAGAATAATAAGACACAATACAAATATATATATATATATATACATAGAATAATAAGACATAATACAAATATGTATAAGACACAAACAAAGAGATAACAAAAAATAAAAAATGTAACAAAAAATATATATATAAAAGAGACAAGAACACATAAACAAAGTAATTGCAGCAGCACTCGGAGAGCGCTAGTTCCTTGCTTTATCAGAAAAGGACTCCGAGGGGTGGGCATGTCATGACGATACTAAGAAAACGTACGCGACGAACTTTGATAAGTAAATGTCACACACAACGGGTTATGGTAACTAACCGGGTATCGGTAATTTAACTTCCTATCATATCAACCCTTCCGGGAACATTTGTAAATCTATCTAGCTAGATAGATTAGTCTAAGCACCTTCTCCATAATATTTCCGCGAATATTACCCACCGCATATTAATTCAGCTAAAACAAGGGAAGGGGCACATCAGCCTATAGTATAAAAAGGCTGGATGAGGGTCCGCGGTAGCACTCATATTAGCAGTTCAGATTAAGTTCATATTATGGTCCGTATTCGAGCTCAGATTAATACTCATACTCTAGTACTCGTACTTATACTGATTTAGTTATTTCTAAGTTTTGTTACCCGGCTACTCAGAACCGGAATTATACTCTGCTAAGCATTATAAACTTTTCTTTAAACAATAAATCTTAAATCAAGCGCAAATACCTAAGACTGTTTATAAAAACCTCTTCTGAAACCTAAGAAACTAAGTTATCTACCTAAACACGCTACATATAATAAAGGCGCTATCCCTTTAACCAATCTCCGTTTAACTCCTGACTAAGATCCAACATTAACCAACGCGACAATATTTTAAACATTATTACGTCTAGCCATAATATTTCCTCGTCTAGACATAACAGAAGAAAGAATTTGACACTTTGATTATTAATTTTTCACTGAGTTATCAATGAATAAAAAATTTATTGAAACAATTAAAATTGCGTTTCTGGATAGCGATTAGACTATATATATCTATAAAATTAATGATAATGATTGTTACCAATTTGCTGATTTTTAAATGGCTAAAAGAGAAATTTACAAATTCATTTTTTAATTATTATTCAAAATTATATAATTAAATTAATCGTTTTTGTTTTGAATAATGTTCTACTAATCACAAGCGATTTTTTTATGTAAAAATTTTCCGCAATTTTATTGTAAATTTTGTGTTATTTAAATATCAAAATTATATCACTTATAACTTTAAAAAGCGATTTTTCCTCGAGAAACGATTTATGTTATAAAATTTGTTATTTCATACTTAATTTTTTAAATCATCAAATTCCAATTTCGATCAAGCCATTTTGCGACAAAACATGTATAATGTTTATGTTAATTTCAATAATAGCGTTGTAGGGGCTACCATACCAGTATAAATTCGCTCGTCGCTGCGGCAAGAGGATTCACTATCTTACCTTGCTTAGCAGCGCGAGCATTGAATCGAAATAAAGACTCAGCAATTTCCTGGGACTAATTTCATTATTCAGTGGTTAGCCTGCTAATTCCTCTCCTTACGATATCTAAGCGCTTAACTCATAAGACTCTCTCTCTCTTTTGAGAAAAAGTAGCCTTAGATATCTCCTCTCTATAAAATCATTATAATTGCCTAGAAATATAATTGAGTGTTTGTTGCGGCGCTGTCGGGCTTCTCTCCGATAGATGCAACTATACCCAATTATATTTCAAAACGGCTAATCGAAACAGCGAATATTGTGTTTGCTATTTGGTGAATGTTGAGATTTCAGTTCTTATAGAGCATATATGCGTGTCAACTTCTTGCTACTCTCGGAAACGCGATTACAAATATAACATTAAGAGTCCGAACTATTTATTTGACTAACGCGAGATAGAATCAAACGTTACACATCACTCGCGAGCCTGTATGTGACCATATGTTCAGGATCGCGCTTTTTCGTGCTGACTTGTTCACCCATCTTAAGCACCAGCTATAAAAAAGAACGTAATATAATGAAAATAGTTATAGATATATAGATAGATAGATGATACGGGTTGAGAGAGAGGAGAGAGACATAAAGAATAATAATCGCACTCGTTATAATTTAAAATTTCACCCCCTAATCTAGCTCTAGGGGGCCTATTCTGAAAAAAAATTTTGTGGTAAATCAGTTTGTTACTTCAGTTTACCACAGAATTAATCACTTTAGATGTGATAAATGCTTATGACATGTGCTAAAATTTTTTTTCAGAATAGGCCCCCTGGACTCAAGAATGAATCTGGCCTGATGAATGAATTTTTCTGCACTTGAATCACCTGAGGCGTCCTCCCTATTTTAACAGTATCAACAGTCCTATCCATCCTTAAATAAGAACCAAGGGACGTCGTAAATTTTCTCTTTCAAGTACGAAAACTTTTTTTTTTATACGCACATTTTTTCAATTTGTATCTACCATCAGCACAAACCTCAAAATGCGCTTGCGCTCAAACCGTTGATGGCCATACAAGTTAATACTAACGTAAAAGGATGCATATGAATAAAATTCTTGAATAATTCTTTTTATTTAATTTAGAAGTAACAGTAACGATTATTAAAATAAATATTAATTCTAATCAAGTTTTTTAATAATTATATAATTTATTCAAAAACAGGTGAACACTAACGGAGCAACACCATGAATGTAACCTTTTAGAGTTTTTTCAATATTCAACAAGTACAGACAATTAATATTTTAAAAATTATAATTAATTAATTGATGTACTATCGATTGTTTACTATATTTTTTTAGTTTTTAGAAAATTGTCTTATTGGCATGTGAGTGTATATTAATAATCCATTTGTATATTACGTAATATTCATACAGCATTCTAGAGAATACTAAGATTCGTTTCTCACGCCTATTATTTTATGCAAAACAAGAAAATTAATAACGTTCCACCACATTATATTAAACATTTATTAAACATCTACAATTACATGCAATAATCATGATGGCTGTGGGTAGAAAACATATTGAACTTGCTTTGAAGTGGTAAGGTTTAACAATGAACTAGTAGTATTATAAAACATGAAATAAAATATTGTCTAATGCATTGTATATTTTAAATATATATGAATTTATGATATAATATAATAATTATGATATATATGAATAAATAAAACAAAAATATTACTCTATTTACAAATATTATTTATAAGATAAAGACTTAATATCTTTAAGAACTATTCAATTTTGTATAGCTAATTATCTAAATGAAACAGTATTGACAATATTGAAACAATATTCCTTCCACACATACAAGCTGTAAAGTTAAATGACAATTAAAGTTTAAATAACATTATCATTTCATAATTTCATTATTCTATTATTTGTATCATTTAAATTTTTAGTGGAACAAGTATTTAAATGAACCTTATTAAGAATATTTTGTTAAAAAAAGAAAAATATCATATTGTATATAACTCAAAACTCAGAATGAAACAATAAAATTGTTGTTGAGTTATATATAATATGATATTTTTCTTTTTCTAAAAAAATAGTCTTTATCTTTGTACATCTGTATACATCTAATGTATTAGAAGTATTCAATTCCATAACATTAATATCTGATCCAAATATTCCTAACAAATTTTCAAATTTACAGAAGATCCCCAAGTATACCAAGTAGTCTCTTTGATTTATTAAAAATAGAATATTTTTTTCTTTGATGTTTTTATTAAAAAAATTACAATAAAAATGATTTATTTTAAGATTGCCTGTCTACTCTATTGTGTTTTTATGAAATCAGCTGGTGAGAGCTGGAAATTCACTTAATTTTAATTATATTCAGCAATGTTTTGTCAGCAAATTTGCTGACCTCTTCAGGCTGGTTTCTCTCATAGTCAAATTATTATAGGCTAAAATGAATAGCTCATAGCCAGTAGGACTCTATTGTAATGTGACTGGCTACGAGATATTTGTTTTAGCCTATAATAATTTGACTATGAAAGAAATCAGCCTGAAGAGGTCAGCAAATTTGCTGACAAAACGTTGCTGAATATAATTAAAATTAAGTGAATTTCCAGCTCTCACTATTTCTCTTCTTTCCATTATTACAAATTTTATCATTTATAACTTATTTAATTATACTCTTTATAATTATTTTGATTGTTTTAAACATTTTAATTTTTTTTATTGTAAATCATATATTGGGAAATTTTGATGATGATTTTCTTACAAATATAACATAAAAGGAGATCTTGAACCTGCAATGACTCTGCCAATTCAAGATTAAGAAAAAAATATAAATTTCATTACTCAAATAATGTGATTATTCTGTAACAGTTTTTTGTGCATTAGTTACATTAGTTTATGAATCTCAAATTTGTAACATCATCTGATAATGAAAAAATCATAAAAACAAAATGACTAAATAACTATATTTATTGCTTCTAATAGATACTAGATTGATATAAAACCATAATAAGTCACTATATAAATTTTATCCTTTAAACTACTCTTATGGTAGTTCATTACATATCAAGCTATATTGACATAGAATTATATTGTTTGTATACATTTGTTAGTTACAATTTATTGAATAAAAGATGTTATTTACTGAATATTTTGATGAAATTAATGTTGGCTAAGTTTGATTTTGATTTTTTATGACCTTTACAGCCGATCCCTATATGTTATAACATCTATATGTTACTATTATATTCATTGTTTTTCATTAGCCAAAAAAATTGAAGTGAGAGTTATTTTAAATCAAAGATAGAATTACTAGAGGCTCAGAAAAAAATTTTTACTCGATGAAAACATTTACAAAACCACTGATAGTTCATTACACATACACTGTTTCCATGAAAATTAAAGTTTTTCTATCGGATTTATAATTAGCCAGAGATAGTAAGGTAGGAATTAATTTTTATTAGGGTACATTTAAAGAAACAAATCAAATTTTTAGATTTCAGGTAATGAAAATATGTTTATTAAGGTATTGCATTATGAAACTAATATAAAGCCCTTGATACAGTCACCTTTACATAATGTCATGTTTGACAGTATTGACGATTCGATGATTTACTTTCCAAATTTTCAATGCCTAAGTTATCTAATTAATAAAAGTGTTAGGGAAAAATATAATGTATTGAAAGTTTATACTTAAAAAGCATAAATATGTATATATTGGATAGTATATATTATGTTCAAGGTGACCAAATGATAAAAAAACAACAGAAATAACTATCTCTATTACCATTAAAACATATGTCACTTTTCAAAAAACATATATCTATCATTCATATCTCAAAAGAAACAGATAAGAATTAAATTTTTCTTATTATTAAAGTACAGGTAATTCTCTAAAAGGGAGCTGAAAATAATTTTGCAACCCTTGGAAATGATAATGACTATCTCTACAACCTCTTAAACATATGCCTGTTGTAGAAAAAAAGGTTTAAGGCTGGTAGTTTCGAAACATTCAAAAAATATTTAATTTTTAATTTTTTTATTGAAGTTTTAGGAGTAGAGAATTTATGAAAAAAATTTTGCCTTCCAAAATAATTACTATTTTTAAGCTCATAAATGTATGTATCTTGAATAAGAAAAACAGTTTATTATTCTAAACTGCAAGAAATCTCAAAATTATTTTGTATTTAATTTTTTTAATGATATTTAAGGAATGCTAGATAGATAAAAAAAATTCTCACTCGTTGGAAATAATAAAAAGTACTTCTAGCAACCTTCAAAAATATGGCTTCAATTTTTAAGTATAATTCAGAAATCCAAAACAAAATTTTGATGTATTTTTCTATTGAAGTATGAGTAGTAAAATTATAGAATATTTTTAATTTAATCTATGTTTTTATTATATAACTAAAAAATATGAAAATTATTCTAAACATGCTAAGCTATTTGGACCAAATCACGCTTGAGAATCAAGCTTCTATTCTATTCTATTGGTATTCGTTGGTTCTGGCATCGACTCACAGCAGCGAGTCTGTGTCTCATACGACCATCAACTGACTTGATGCACTTGCGCATATGATTCAATTGGCATTTTATTGGCATTTTAGAGCAAAACGGAAAAAGAGAAAAGGCAAGCAAGTCTAATGTACTGAAGAAAGGCGAGAATAGGTGAATTGAACATAGAAGTAGAAGTGGATGTTATTAAATAGAAAAGTTAAAGAAATATTTCTAAATTTTTAAGGAATTTATATAGAAGGTCAATGATATGCGGTTTAGGATCTCCAAGAAATTGGGAGATGGTGTAAGGAAGATAGATTTTCAATTTGTTGAGTTCGCACGACCAAAAAACTTGGTTAAAGTCTTCTACGTCTGATTCACATGCACAAATGGAGGAATCTACTAAATTCTTTCTGTGAAGACTAAAAGCTAAATTATAATAATTTGTTCTCATACGTGTGATAGAAACTATCTGTGTTATACAATGGTATTTGTTAAAAAATCAAGGTTTTGAAGCTTTATTAAAGTAGTTTTGGAAATATTGTAACCCTTTGTTATTATCGATGATTCAACAAATATTCAAAAAAACGATCTTTACAATGCTCACTGATGAACTGTTGGAGGTCGGTGTATGGTAAGAGAAAGGATGGAGAAGAGCCTATACCTATCGCTTTTTTAGCAAAATCATCTACTATTTCGTTGCCAGAAATACCTTTGTGGCTCGAGATCCAAACAAAGATGACCTCTTGATTGTTTTCTAGTAATCCCGAAAGTCGAAGTTTTATTCTAAAAATTGTGATGTGAGAAGACTCAATCGTGCATCTATTTTGTGAAATGGACCTGAGACAGCTTAAAGAGTTAGTCAAAATTATGGCTTTGCATTTTTTTGTAAAATGATGAATTCCAGTGTTAGCTGGGTTGCAAAAGCTTCGGCGGAGAATACAGAAGCATAAGGGTCTATCCTAAATTATAAATTAACATTAAGAGGTTCGAAACAGATTGCTAATCCGACGTAAAGCCCAGGACCATTTTCCGATCCATTAGTGTAGAAGGGTGTGTGAGAGTCATGAAACTGTATATTAATTCATTGTCAGGATTGTCAGCCTTAGCAATAACAAAACCTTTTGTGGTGGGGAATTTCGGGGGGTCTTAGCCGCGCTCTCGAAGCTCTTCCGCCACAAGGCCTGATTGGCTCTTTATCCCCGATTATTTTAGGGCACCAGACCGCCGTGTGATTAGGGCGATCGTCGGGGATAGGGCCTAGAATCGCGACGTATTCTGGTTTGCTTCTAAGGCGACTGCGCAATGTGGGCAAACGTACGTGGACACGCGATCTCCTTTATTTCAGGCTTTTGATGTCCAACAATTTGGTTTCCTTCCGTCCTCTTATCCGTAATATGCCGGCAGCTCAGGTTGTAACACTTTACCTCGGGTCGGAAGTTCGTTCAAATTTGCGCGTATATTATCTATCGTGGGGACTGAAAAATGACGAACCAGTGTTTTCCAATTACAACCGTCCGCGGCTGAAAATAATCAGCATGCAAAGAGGGTAGGGTAACAAGAAGCAAAAATTATAAAAAAATTGATCACTCTTTATTAATTTTATTTCACCCTACATACGAGGTGTGTTCAAAAAGTAAGGTGACTTTTCAAATTTCACGGACAACGTACTTTCGATTATCGATTTTTTTGTTTTGTTATGTTGGTACACTCTTCCCGAACATCTGTACCAAGTTTCAAGTGTATAGCATATTTTGTTTGGTTGTGAGAGGCGTAAAGGTTATAAGTGTTTTGCGTGCTCGGCGATTTCTTGCTATCGAAAAATATGGATCAAAGGATTTGCATCAAATTTTGTGTAAAAAATAAAATAAAGTGCTCCGAAACACTTGAAATGTTGACTGTAGCATACGGTGAAACTGTTCTGAGTAAAAAATATGTTTACAAGTGGTACAAACTCTTCCAAGATAGCCGGGAAGATGCCAATGACAGGCCTCGCTCTGGACGCCCAAGCACGTCAACAACTGATGAAAACGTTCAAGCAGTGAAGAAAATTGTTCTGGAAAATCGTCGAATCACTATCA